AACGAGAGCCAAAAGTTGAAATGTTTACGGGAGTCATGAAGATTTTGTTTAAATACGGGAACTCACTGTAAGCCAACTTCCAGAAAAAGGCTTTAAAGGATGAAAAAAAAAGACTTGCATAGCTAACCAGCAGGGGAAGGGAGTAAGAGGATGTCTCTTATTTCAATAACTTCTTTTCTTAGAAGTAAAAGGGCTTCTTTCAATTTGAAGTTGTGCCTAAATAAAGAAAATGAAACATAAATTAAATACACAAACAAAATAATGCAAGCCAAAAGAGATTTGGAAGAACAATTCAGCAAAAATCTAGTAGTAAAGCCTTTTTCAAGCTGTCTTTTAATAGGCAAAATCTTGACAGAGGCTAGTAAGTGATCAAAGTAGTGAAAGTATTTAGGGCTATATCTATTCTATCAAGAGCATGTCAAACGATTTGTCACCAATAAACACGTTATTAGAAGAGATTTCATAAGAAACTGTAAACCATGAATGGTGAAAAATTACCATGGTCAAGTAGAAAACTGTCAAGCCAGAAACCATGGTGTGTTTCCTAAAAGCATCCCAGTCAAGACAAAAAAAAACAACACACAACCCAAGAAAACTGTAAACAGCTGCTTTTCCATTCTAAATCTTTAGATTCATGGGAATATATGATTAAAAAGAGAAACCCAGAATTTTTAAAATTTCTGTGGACTACGATGAATACATGTGACAAAATGTCTCTTGGAGAAGTTTAATCATCATGGATGAAGACACAGGGACCTCTCAGTGATAACTAGTTAAAAAATAGGAAACAAATAATGAAGTCCATTTTTACAGTGAGGGAGGTTCCTTGCTAGAGACCCAAGAAAATACATAAGAGTCTGCAATATTTTACTGACAACAGTTTTGAAAGATACAGAGAGGGGAGGAGATGACAGAGGAGGCAAATACCGCTGATAATAGTTAGATTACACAGCATAGGAGAAATGAAAGTTTGCTGTAGGGGCATATAGCAATGTCTCATGATACTGACAACAAAAGTAATTGTTGATAAATGTAAGTTAACAGCAATGTGTGGGGGATAGTGTTGATGGCCGGGAGGGCTTCCTTTCAAGAAGGCTCAAGATTACTTGGAGTTATGATTGATAGTTCTAAAAAAAAAAAATAAAATCCTCGTTTACCTTCTCAGCAGTAACGATGTTTGTTGTTTGCCATCTTGGTCACAAAATGCTATGGTGCAGCTAACAAAATGTGAAGATCACTCTTATCAGGTGTTGCAAGTGCCAATGTTGAATGACAAATTCATGCAATTAAAATGCAATTTGGCCTATCAGAAATTATGACCTTATGTAGTGGTTTGAAGTGTAAATCACACAACACCCTTCTCTCCGCTCAGGAGAAGGCTTGAGAAGGAAGAGGAAGAAACCTGATTGAGATAGGAGAGAACTGATTTATTAAAAGCAATGTCAGATAATACAGAATAATTAAGAATAATAAATCAAATAAACCATAGATAAAACTGGAGGAGAGAGTCAGTCTGAGTCATTATCAGCAGGCCCGTGATGGCTGGCCTCCTGAAAATGGTAACTTCTCCCTCATCTGGGTTCAGAAAATCAGTTATGAAACTCTGATTAATGAGAAGGGAGAAGATATAATTTTAAGAGTTGAAAATTCAGCTCCAAGCCTCTGACCTGCTTTGTGAGTGTCTGCTTTTCTTGTGTCACAACCTAAAGAATCTCAGTTTGTAGGGTGGCATCTGGTGTGACCACTTCCTTGTGCAAGACCAGGTGCTCTAGAGCAGTGCCCTCCTTGGCTGGACTGCATGGCAGAGACATGATTTTGTCCAGATGTTTGTTTTTGGAGGGTTCTTCTTAGACTTGGGGCACTGCCTAAATCTTTGGTTAGTATGATCCATGCTCTTTTATATCTTCTTTTTGTCTTATTACTGAATGTTTTGGGTTAATGCTGTGTTCCTTCTATTCTTCCTTATCCCAGTACATGACCTCTGAAGTAGATGGTCCTGGGAAAAGACTATTCATGCTTTCTATCTGCTTTATTTTTGTTTAAAGCAGATTATAGCTGGCCTTGAAGGAAACTTGGTTTTGCTAATTGTTTAATTTTTAAGCATTTTTCTACCAAACTGTTTTTTTTTTTTCATTTGTTTGTTTTAAGAACATCTCTATTCCTATTTTTAAAATAACGCAATGTGTTTAGATAATATGTTGCAAATATTCAGTTCTTAGGTGATGGCATCTTTCTGCTCACTTTGTAATTTCGGTAGAATTACTTAAAAACAAAGAGAAAAATTGTTGTGAAGCACTACATCCCATTTCGAAGTCCTGTGGGAAGCTTCTGTGAATGTAATCTGGAGTCTGTGTTATTAAAATGAAAAATGACTTTGTAGATCTCTTTCTTCTTTCTTTATTTTTGTTGCACCCCACTCTGTTTTTAAGGAAATTGATGCAAAGTTGCCTTCATTTCAATCCAAGAATGGTGAAGTCTTTAACCTTCTTTTGCCCTCTTCCATTTTCTTGGAGCAGCACTCGCAGTCAGCTTTTGTGCTTCAAACATAAGACAAGAAGAGAAGACATAAAGAAGATTAGCAGTGTATTGAAGCTCTCTTGCAGCAGTGGGCAGGCTGCACAGAGCTGTGCTGTTGCTGCTTGAGTGAAAATCACATTCTCAGTGTGATTTCAGCATTATAAAACCATTTGGGTAATTTACTACACATTGCATGGTCTTGATGATCCGCATTCTTTGATTTAATGTGTTTGAACTAGGGCATGCTTTTTTAGTAAAAGCAGTTAATTTTGGTTTTAAAATTGTTGCAGTAGGAAACCCACAAAGGCTGTTGTTAGCAAATTATTATTTCAGGCAGCTCTTAATCTATTTGTTTTCTATGTTGCTAATTTATTTATTCTTCTAGCTAATCAGTCAGAAACACTAGGTAGCATCAGATCAAATGCCTATAAAATGTGGTGTGTAGCATGTATTGACAGTGTAAAAGCCATAGATACCTGTTGTCAGTAGTGCTGCAAAGAGAGAACATCCTTTTTTGTCCAAGGAGGCAAAACCGTGGGTGTTAAGTCTTTGATTCCAGTTGGAAAGTGATTGAAGGCAAACATTTCCAGATGTGTCCATTGCTGTCAGCCCTAGTAGGCCCTCAGGGACAAACTCTGGAACATTTTATGAACTATCACTGGAGACTTGTCTGCAAGCCTGAGTGAAGCCCACTGAAGAAATATGCTCAAGCATTTCCAGCTCTTACTTTTCCCCATTCTTTTTCTTTTTTTTTTTCTTTTTTTTTTTCTTTTTTTTCTTTAGCTTTCTTTGTGTCACTGATAATTATGGAAAGGCTTGAGTGGATGCCAGGTCCTACCATGCTATTACAGCGCTGTGGTAAGGTTTACCAAGTGGGAAGTTCTTTGAACTCTTTTATTAACATCTGTTTGGATACAGAGGTACCACAAGAGGGAGAAAAATGAATGTTAAGTTAGATTTGGAGTTAAATCACTTAATGTAATCAAATTTTCTCATACATAAATACTTTTCTGATAGTCATTTCATATGGCCCTGGGAATATCTTATGGGAAAATCATCTTTTCATGCTCTCACACACACACCATTTCTGATTCAGATGGTTTTAGCTATGCTTTCTCATATTAAGTGTGAGATAGTATGTTTATTTTTATTTTTTTCAGTAGTGAGGCAGCCTTCCAACATTATTTGATTCAAGCTTGACTGTTAATTTTGAGATACTCAGTGTCTGATTTATTTTTGACCATTCTGTATTCTCTTATAAACCAGCAACGATTTGAGCATTCACTGGAATTTCTGGGAGGGGGAGTTAGCTAGATCGCTCCTATAGCAACAAAAACAAGAAACTACCTATGACTCTCAGTTTCAATTTACTTCCCTTGTGTCACTTTCCCAGAATTTCAGTTTATTCTCTCACCTTCTATGTGGCATATGTATAGTACAGTCTAAAATCCAGGATGTGCATCTATGCCCTTGTGTCTGCCACCCTCCAGCTGATATTAGTGGGAAGGATCAAGAAAGATTGGCTCAAGAGGAGGTTATATATCTGAGCAAGATGTAAAAATAATTTCCTTAGAAAAGTGTTGTAGGCACGACCCCGGAGCTAAAAAATATAACTACTACACATAGCACTAAAGGATTTGTCATAGAATGGCCTGGGTTGAAAAGGGTAATAATGATGATCTAGTTTCAACCCCCTTGCTATATGTAGAGTCACCAACCACCAGGCCAGGCTGCCCAGAGCCACATCCAGCCTGGCCTTGAATGCTTCCAGGGATGGGGCATCCATAACCTCCTTGTGCAGCCTGTTCCAGTGCATCACCACCCTCTGCGAGAACTTCTTCCTAATATCCAACTTAAACCTCCCCTGTCTCAGTTTAAAACCATTCCCCCTTGTCTTATCATTATCCACCCTTGTAAACAGCCATTCCTCCTCCTGTTCATATGCTCCTTTCAAATATTGGAGGTCTCCCCAGAGCCTTCTCTTCTCTAAGCCAGACAATCCCAGTTCCTTCAACCTTTTCTCATCAGAGAAGTGTTCCAGACCCTGATCATCTTAGTGGCCTTCACTGAGTGGATTCTTGTAGCATGCTTTTCTATTAATTTCACTGTAAGAACAGTTTGGCAACGAAGCAGATCACCCAGATGGGTTGGGCAGACTACATCTTTGGAGATTTTCAAGACCCAACTGGGTAAAGTCCTGGGCAACTTGATCTAACCTCAGCACCAAACATGCTTGGACCAGGAAATTGGACTCAAGACTTCCTGAGTTCCAACCTGAACTGTCCCATGAATCCTAAGATCTATTGCTTATGAAAGTAGATCACTCTTGTATATATTTGTGTGCTGTTTAGCTGGTAAACATCTATCTTAGCATGACAACACAGTGTTTGTAATGGACAAAATATGATTGTTGATATGTCACTGCAGTATGCTATGCCATAGCCTTTTTTTTTTTTTCTTTCATCTGTCTTCTCTTTATTTAGGTGGAAAATGTGCGATTACTTGATCGCTTATCTTCAAGAAAAGCTGCAGTGGGAACCCTATACTTAACAGCTACTCATGTCATATTTGTGGAAAATGGTTCTGAAACTCGTAAAGAAACCTGGGTATGATTTTTATTTTTTTAGTTAGCTGTAAGTGCTTGGCAATTTACTGATGGTAACTTGAAAATAACTTGCCAAGTAGATTAAATGCTGTAGATGAGTTTATACAGATGCTTCTATTACTGGATAGTATCTGAAATGCTTAATAAAAACATTTGCAGCTTGATGATTTTTTAAAAAAATTTCTGTGGGTTCCAGATATTGTAACACAGGGTACTGGTACCACAAAGGTATTTACTGTATGAATACTGGCTGTGATTCTTCAAGGAACCACTGCTGTCAAGTTCAGCTGTTTAGAGAGTGAATTACTGCTTGGGCTTAGTCAGCTTGTCTCCCTCCTTATGCTTCCATTCTGTCAGTTAGCTGGACCAACTCTTTAGCCAAGAGACTTTAGTTATTTTTTTATAACTGATGCTGGTTCATCTTTTCACTGTACAGATAGACAAAAGAGCTCTTTTTTCTGATGACTGTTAGCATACATTAAAAAAAAAAAAAATCAAACAGAAGGCTTTGGACAGCATGACTAGGCTAATGTCTGAGCAGCTGAAACATTCCAGAGGTGCTTTGTTGTCTGTAGGTCATGTATCTGGCATTTCTGGAGCCTGATGCTGGAGATAGGAACAAAACTGCAAGAAGACGTGTGTGAGGATTTTCTGAAACAGCAGTGGAAGCTCCTGTGTCCTGGCAGATCTTTACAAGCAACTGTTTTTCTCCCTGCAGACTTGAATCACTTAACATAACTGTTTTCAATTCCCTTCCAGGTTCTCCACAGCCAAATTTCCTCTATTGAGAAGCAGGCCACAACTGCCACAGGTTGCCCGTTGCTGATCCGCTGCAAGAACTTCCAGGTTATCCAGCTGGTCATCCCTCAGGAGCGAGACTGCCACGATGTCTATATCTCTCTAATACGCCTGGCACGGCCAGGTATGGGAAAGAAACATGACACAAAAGTGAATCCTCCTCTTGAAGGATATTGTAATGGGTGAACTGTAGCTGTGCATCTTTCTTCTTTTCGGTTTAAGAGAGAAGACTTCATTACAGATGCATTATGATGAAGGAGAGGTCTCTGAGCACAGAGCACGCTGGAGCAGTGGAGAATGCATGCTCTAATAAATGGTTTATTCCATAATGTTTGACACAAACTTTTATTTAAAGTGATAGTCTAGGGGATCACTGACTGTAAAATATATCATAATGCTATTTTATTAGTAACTGCTGCCTTGTGTAAGTGTGAATTTAGGAAAATACTAACAAGTCTCTAAATCTAGTGAAATTTCATATTCCTTCTGTGAAGTTTTATGATATCTTTAGTGGCCACATCAAGATCTGAATTCTCCCTTCTGTGCTGTGCGTAAACTTGTTAAAAAAAAAAACAAACAAACACAAAAAAAACAATGAAATGTATTGCAGCAAGTACTTGATCTAGTCCACTGGACTGCCTGTATTTTAGCCTACTGTTATCTAGATTTAGAATGTATTCTGTTTGAATTTCTTAAATTTGATCAGGGTCCCTTTGAAACCTTTCCTCTTTTCAGTGAAATCCAATATTTGATCCTCTGTGACATAGTTGCTCTTCTAGGAACCAACAGCCTTACCTGTTTTAAGTGATAGCTAAAGAAATATTTGCCACAGTCTGTATGAAACTGAAATAACTTGCTTTAATTTTTTATCTTGCTGGGAGAACACCAGTTTTATCTACTGTGCAGAGTGGGAAAAATAGCAGTCAGCCAGCACTGCAACTGAACTTATACAGTGACATCTATAATTAGAGTAGTAGTAGTAGTAATATGCAACTGCAGCTGATGTGACTTGTTATGCTATGCAGGATTAAATAATCAGAGAAACTCAGAAACAACGAGGTAAATTATCCTAGTTTTGAGGAAGCTTAAAGGATCAGAGTAAAACATACCCTTGTCACAATATCTTCAGCAGCAGTAAGAACTTTGCTGACAGGTGGCATTTAGTAGCAGTGGTATCTGGCTGCCATTTGCCACCATAATTAAATCACTCATTAGTATAAATACAGGTATCCTGAAAATGAAAAGTTAAGAACTTCAGTACTAGCAAATTTTACCATATAGTTCTGGACTGAAGGTGACAGGTGGCATAGCTACTTAAGTGGTTTTATGGTCGTGATGAAATGATTGATTTAACACATGCTATTTTTATGCTTATTACAACAGCTGTATCACAAATGCCTTTGCTAATAAAGGAAGAACAGAGTTTTGCAGTCCATAGAATTAAAATTTCATTGAACCTGTTGGAAACTTCTATTTCAGCACAAAAACTTTTGAGCTTGTTAGTTTTGGAAGATGGTGGTGCATAGGTAGATAAGATGTCCAGGAAAACAGACTACTACTTGAATATTAATATAGCACATATATTTATTCAAACAATAACAAAAAACAGCACAGTACTTTCAAAGTATGTTTGACAATAGCTTCAAGACAGGATGTGAGATTTCAAGAAGCAATTCATGTTAGTTTTAAGGGAAACCACATTAGGGGCAGTGTCAGATTTTGGTTTTGGATGTGTCTTCTTGATGAGAAATCTGAGATACCTTATTGTTTTGCTGTTTGTTTCAGTGAAATATGAAGAGTTGTATTGCTTCTCATTCAATCCAAAATTAGATAAAGAAGAACGAGAGAAAGGCTGGAAGCTTGTGGACCTCAATGAAGAATATAATCGGATGGGCATTCCAAACAGCTACTGGCAGATTAGTGATGTAAACAGAGACTATGGAGTGAGTTATTTTTTTAATGTCATGGGACCCTTAGAGTGGATCAGCAGTCTGGCTGTGAGTTTCTTAGTGCTCAGATGCAAAGCTCTTGTGTACTCAGTGCTGTACACACGTGTAGTACGGTACAGCTCTTCCCCATTTTCCACATTAAAATGCATACAAATAGCAGGAAAAAGGATGCATCTTCATTTAATGTATGTGTAACTTGTCCACAGTAAGTTTTAAATGTTAGTATTTGGCTATTAGTAATATTGTTAGCATTTCATACCTAAGTGTCTAATGAGCTTTTTTCTGATACATAGGGTTAAGATTACCGCACAGTCATTAACAAAAAACCCCCGCACCTTGAAATAGTGAATTTAACCATGCTTTTTTGTCAGTGGCTACCCTCACAATCCTTTGAAGCCTCTATGTTTAACTGTTAAGTGTTTTCTATAGTCAACTGACAGGCTTTATCTCTTCCCAGTTCAGTCTGTCCTGCCTAGTTCAGTACTGTACAATTGAAGTTCACAGAATGTTAATTGTGAGAAATAATAACCAAAATATGTTTTGAAAGAAGTTGGCCCATGCACTCAATTTACTCTATTGCTTTTAGTGTCTTTATATTAAGCGAGGCTTGTGAAGCTCTCAAGAAGGTTGAGTGCACTGTCAGGATTTCCTTTTTTTTTTTTTTTTTTTTTTTTTATTTTTATTTTTATTTTTTTAAATATAAGCAGAAAAAAAATATTTAACCTCTCCCATGATAAAGTGTAGGAGAAGTGACATCACAAATAGAAACCAATTCACCACAGCAGCATCTTTAAACATAAGCCTCTATTTTTGCATCTCCTGCCAGTGTTGTTTTTTTTTTTTTTAAATCTGATCATTGGGTTCCTGTCAGAAGGGAGGAATTGACTGGGCTGCTTGCCTTTGAAGTATTGTCATTTCATAGAAATGGATTCATTTTCTCAAAAGCCTATTTTTTTTTATTTTTTTTTTTTAAATTTTTTTTATGTTTCATACTCTATATTCACTGGAAAATTTTGGCTCTGTAGTCCTCTCTAATGTTTGAGAACTTCACCCCTTTCCTTTCTCATATCCAAGTTCTGCTCTGGAGAAAGCAGCAGCTGTAAATACAACCATGCTGTATATATTAAAGATTCTTTCTGATCTGAATGTATATTCTCAGTAAGACATGAATTAATACCTGGAAATACAGCCCTTCAACCTTTCTGCTTCAATTTTGCTGCTTGCAAAGTATAATCAACACTTTCCAACTTTAAAAAACTGCTTTGAGAAATGCAGGTGTACAGAGGTTAGGCTTAGTAAGAATATTGTGATAGAAAAATAATCAAAATAAATGGAAATGCTTACCAGTATCATAGGCTTACAGTAAACTCTAGAAGGAGATCCTTCCTCAGTGGAAGTCATTAAGTGCAGTCAGCACTTAAATGGGATCTAGGAGAGGTGGAACCAGGCTCCACCCCTTCTGGTAGCACAAGTGAATTGCCTTCACCTATGCTCCTGTGGCTGACTCATTGCTTGCTCAGGTGGTCAATCAGAGGTACAGGCTGTGATCAACAGTTCCTATACAGCAGGTGATATGTACAGTTGTTGTGCAATGAAATATTCTCTGAGATTAAAATTCCTCTCTATTTTTTTTTTTTTTCAGTAGAGTAGAGCTGGCTAACATTAGTTGTATTTAGTAGACTAAGTAACTGGAGTTTCCTTTCACAGGTCTGTGACTCCTATCCTACAGAAGTGTATGTACCAAAGTCTGCAACTGCACACATCATAGTGGGGAGCTCTAAATTTCGGAGCCGAAGGCGTTTTCCAGCTCTTTCCTACTACTGCAAGGATAATAATGTAAGTGTGAGTTTGTAGTTTCCAATGTGCAAAGTTTAACCTGGCTTTTGTAATTTTTCTAATAAGCTTCTGTGAGAAGTCAGTGTTTGCTTTAAAAAAAAAATTTAGAAGGTGGTTTGGGTAGTCTCTTCTTTATGGTGATACCTGTCCTAAGTTTAAGCTTCAGAAGGGTGGGATGAAACGTATTTTTGATTCCTGCTGACTATTTCAGCTGAGTTCTTCTTCAGCAAAGATCTAAGAATTTGATTACAAAATAGGAGGATATGAAGATTTAAATAATTAATACAGTCTACACATAAATAGTATATTGCCTTTTATATTTAATTAAGAACAAAATTTTCAAAATTAATCACTTTGCATAATCACCTAAGTCCAAATACAGATACCCAGCATTCAAAACTTGGACGTTTCCAGGTATTAGTAAAAGAAGTCTAAGGGATCAACTAAGTTCTGGAGTATAGTGGTCCAGCTTGGGTGAGTTCTACAGTTTAAGCCTAGATGGTTTCTCCATTTGTGGCTGAGTTCAGGTTAAGGTTAGGATTCATATTCAGGCCACTAGGGTCTGAAATATTGTATTCATTCCTTGATCTTAAAAGGTAAGGAATGTTGGAGTACCTCCATGTGAGTTTGGATGTTGGCGTAAGTTTCCAGGTAATAGAAGAATGGGCAAGATTAGGGTAAGTTTTGTGATGGTAGACATTGAATAACTCCAGTAACAGCAGGTTGGGAAGCGGGATGGGTGCCGCTCATTCCGTCTTGCATATCTGGAAAGGTCACATAACATTTCGGTTATTCACAGATTCAAATGATGTTGTGACACCACTCTGTGTCTCACAGGATCTTTGTGGTTATGCTGAGATCAAAGTCTGAAAGTATCTTTTTAGCCAGGGCAGTTGAAAGCAACCTGATCTTTTGCCGTACTCTTAAATACACCCTAAGAAATTTTTTAGAGGTATGTGCTCTTCATAAACAATTGGCTTGGGTTAAGTTCTTCATGGAGATCATTTGTAATGATTTCTGAGATATCTAATGGATCATTAGGCCAATTTATCTTCCTGGTTCTGCACTATTGGCAGTGCAGCTGTTTCATGAGCTTGGGCTATATGTGAGTTTAACCTGACAGACAAGCCATTCTCTCCTTCTGGTGCCAGCACATATCTTAGTTTGTTGCAGTGCTGTAATGTAATGAGCTCTAGCCCCAAGTTTCCTGAACCTTAACCTCAGTCTGCAGCTCTAATTTTAGTCTTAATCTTAAGGTGTGTATCTACCTCAAGTATGATACCTCATGACTGATAGAGAAATCTTTTTTCAATTAAAATGAGAGGTTGTGAATAGCCATATGTACAAATTTCATCATTCAAATAAGGTATTAGCATGTATTAAATCACTGGGATATGCACTGATCAGCAGTAGATAACTAATAATTTGATGGCAGAATCTATTACTGACATCTAAGCAAGCTCCCACAGTTTCATATATAAAAGATCCCATTTACTAAGTACTGATAGTTAAAAGCTTGGCTGAAAGTGAGCATGTTCCTTCTCACAGTAATAAATAATCTGTTGGGCAGCCTGCAAAGGTTATGACCTTCAGCATGCAGATTCTCTTCGTACTCATGTTCAGTGCATAGAAAGTGCCTACATCAGCCCTGTGCCCATATGGCTGCTCACAGGCTAGCAGAAACTGGGAAATATGATCTCCTTGCTCCAAGTTCAGTTCCTTCTTTCCAGGTTTCATCTGGAGGCCTGATTCTGATGTGTCTGGGGAGAATCTTTCTTGACTTTTTCAATAGCACTGATTAATAAATTTGCTCCAACACTCAGGCTGCCTGACTCACTTCCTGTGCAGTGAAGTCTTTCTCCAGAGGCAGTGCTAAAAATACAGTACATCAGTGATCTGGCTGCACAGTATGTACACATTTTTGTTTCCTGGACTTGTATCTCAAAGTGCTCAGTAAAGAGTGTATTGGTGTAAGCTGGATGTAATTAGTATCATAACTGAAGTGTGAGTGACAGTGCAGAAGGATCCATTTCTTGTTATGTCAGTGTTCTTGTGATAGCATTGCTATACTCATTATTCTCTACAGATTGTCTTTAGGAGATAATCCACATGAGGGAAATAATATATTTGAAATAGCTCTAAAACTTTTATTCAAGACCTAGGCAGTGGGGCTTTATTGCCTTAATATTTTCTTGACTTTCTAAAAAGAATGTAATTCTTTTTACCATTCCCACATAACTATAATTCTATGGTAAACATCTAATGAGCTTCTTCAGTAAATGTTTTGGGTTGCTAATTGATTTCTGCTTAATAAGTTTACTGACTTCTTGTTTGTTTTTCTGCAGGCCTCGATATGTAGGAGCAGCCAGCCTTTATCTGGCTTTAGTGCAAGATGCCTTGAAGATGAACAGATGCTTCAGGCCATCAGAAAAGCAAACCCAGGAAGTGATTTTATATACGTTGTTGACACTCGGCCTAAAGTAAGTGTATTACCTTTCTTGCCTATAGCAATACTGAATTTGAGCTGGATGTGCTTGAGAAGATTCATAGCACAAACGGCTGGCACAGTTGCACCTGTGTAACTCCACATGTTAAATCAGGATTTATCAGGCATGTTTTAACCAGAAATCTTGCTTCTGTTTTTCTCTCAGAGTTCTATTGTTTATGCTGTGTCTTTCTCTTTTTTTAGTTCTTATCAAAATGTTAAGATACAGAAAAAGAAATAATAACTTGGAGCAGTAACTGTTAGATTATTTGATAAAAGGCTATTTTCACACACACAAGAGTTAACAGTGTTAATAATGAGGCTAGTGAAATATAATTCCTGTTAGAACACAATGTTTATAATAACAGTTTTGTATTTTAGGAAGATAATCTGAAATATGTTATTGAGTTATCACAGTCTGTAATTGACTAAAATATTTGGCTAAGACTAAAACTTTAGAGGAATTATGCTATGCAGAAACATGGAAACACAATAATGATCAAGAAGAGTTTGGAAGGTAATACAGCTTGTACGCAACTTTGGCAAACAGCTTGGGGTGATGAGGACCAGGAAAGATTCGGTGGCTGGAGGTGGGAGCAGGAGTACGCGCTCTTCCCTGCTGAACCTAACAAAGCGTGTGAAGGAGGACGTCTCTATCTAATCACTAGTAGACACGAGATGAGCTATAGATGGGGGAAGGAAACAAAGTCAGGGGTATCTCATTTCACTTTGTAATTTGGAAGACAGTTTGACCTGCAGATACTACTCTTTTTTTTTTTTTTTTTTTTTTTTAAATTGGGAAGATGAGAGCGATACCTTCTTACTGGTAGTTCTGCAGCAATTGCAGTTGTTGTGAGCACTAGAGAAGGATTAGTACCACTGTGTTCAGAGCAGGTTTGGATAGGAAATGCAGACCTGGATATCTAAATAATGCATGCTTAACAGTTGTAACCATTATCGCACGTAGAACAACATAATATTGATTCCAGGACGAAATCCCAGGCATACATACAGATTGGCAGGAGAAATCCTGAGAATAGCCCTGCAGAGAAGGCCCTGGGGGTCCTCGTGGATAAAAAACTTAACATGAGCCAAGAGCGTGCTCTTGCAACTTGGGAAGCAAGTGGTATCCTGGGCTCCATCAGAAGAGGGGTGGCCAGCAGGGACAGGGAGGTGATTGTCCCTCTCTGCCCTTGTGAGGCCCCATCTGGAATATCGCGTCCAGGTCTGGGACCCCTAATACAAGAAAGACCAGGGAGCTGTTGGAAAGAGTTCAGAGGAGGGCCACAAAGATTATCAAAGGGTTGGTTCACTCTCCTGAGAAGACAGGCTGAGGGAGCTAGGCTTGTTCAGCCTGGAGAAGAGAAGGCTGTGGGGTGATCTCATTGCAGCCTTCCAGTACCTAAAGGAGGGAGCCTACAAACAGAAGGAGAGTCAACTTTTTACGAGGTTAGATAACAGCAGGACAAGGGGAAATGGTTTTAAGTTGAGGGAGGGGAGATTTAGATTGGATATTGTGGGGAAGTTTTTTACACAGAGAGTGCTACGGTGCTGAACAGGCTGCCTGGAGAGGTGGTGGATGCCCCATCCCTGGAGGTGTTCAAGGCCAGGTTGGATGGGGCCCTGAGCAGCCTGGTCTAGTGTTAAATGGAGAGATTGGTGGCCCTGCCTGTGGCAGGGGGGTTGGAGCCTGATGATCCTTGAGGTCCCTTCCAACTCAAGACATTCTCTGATTCTCCGGCTTTGGTACTCCTCTCTCATTAAGTAGGTCACTCACTGATGGGATTTATTAAAAAATACTTTGTGACTTGGCTATTAATGATATTCATTTAACTAGATCAGGATGACTAGCACAGAGATTTTACTTTGGACACCATCTTCATTTTCTTCTTCCGTGTGTTTACAGAAGAAGTTAATTTAAACTTACAAGTGAAACAAATTAGTTCTATTAATCTTCTTAGAATTTTATTACCCTACACGCTGAAGAAGATGCCAGGAAATCTGACAAGTAAATTCTGTTCTCTTTAGAGGTTATATTTTCATATTCACAGAAATTAAGCAGGGACAGGCACAACTTAGAGAATAACAACTGCTTTACAAGCAACAGATGGAATTTGGATAGGTGATGGGGAAAAATTGTTAGTAAATACTGTGGCAGCTGCAAAGTTTGGCAACTGACAATATTTAAAATGAGTACCTGAAAGCCTTGCAAATTTGACCTTATATTTATTTACTTTTAAAAAGTCTATTTCAGATTTCTTCTAATGAACGATTTGTGTGATACAATTGCTCTGCTGAAGGAGAGACAGTTTATAGCATGTGCACTGCTAAGGATTAGGTCAGTTAAGCACTAGGCGTGTTTCAGTTAGAGCTTCTGGATTTCATGGTGTCTTATTCATGCTTACAGATCTTTCCTCCTGAAGCTATATGCTTTTGTCAGGAGAGAGATTTCATGCTGCTTATATTAGAGCACTGGTGACTGCTTCAAAGCAGAAAGACTGGGAGTCAACAGATAATTGTAATCTTTCTAGCAAGTCACACTGAGGATTCTCTCCTTAAATGGCTGTTTACAAGCAGTATTTATTTGTGTTTGTTTTTTAAAATTGTTAGTTGACAGTCAAAAAGATCAGCAAACAACCAGCTGGTGGACTAGAATTTTATGGTTATTTTTTCCTTCTATTTTTCCTTTATTGGAAGCTACAAGCTAAAAGAAATTTTACACAAGAGTTAAGTAAATGGAAAATGCTGTCTTTTTTTTTTATTATTATTTTTACTAGTTTCCTATTTTTATAGTTTCTTCTGTGTTATGTTTATGTTCATTCTGTGTTTCAATTCCTACTGTTCCTCCACAAAGGTAACTATTCCTATTGCTAAGTTCTACTGTTCTATTCAAGGAAATGGATTAGAAAATGGTAAGATGAAAGAAATGAGAGTAAACCCGATTTCACATTTTACATCCCTCTATATTAGGAAACAGACTGGAAAAAGAGTCATCTGCCTATTCACTTACCTGTAGACAATACACAAGACCTTTCCTTTTGATTTTTTGTGAACATTGGCCAGTCTTTTTTTTTTTTTTAAATCTAAGTGATACCTCCCATGTGTCTCCAAAAGCTTTGTTGGTGCCTTTCAGTATGGATTTGCAAGGTTCACTAAATTTTAAATTAGATATTTTTTTGAACAGAATTTTTTACTCTTGCTTAGAGACTTGATGGCTTTGTAAAGCTGACAATTTCGTTACTCCTGCTACCTTGACATTTATTGTGAAGTTCAGAGGCTCTACATCATTTATTAAAAATCCAGCTTCCATTTCAATTTTTTTGTTTTCTTTTGTTTTGTTTGTTTTTCTGAAGCATAAGCAAAATATTTGATAGTGCTGCATTGCAGATGAAGATATTTGTGGTGATTTTGTCTTTCGTGGTGTTCTCAATTGGAGTCAAGACACTGTAATCTTGGGAAAACTTGTCTCTCTAAATTAAACTTGTCTTTCTAAATTGATCTAGGCTTCAGAAAAGGAACCTGTATCAACTTTTGGGTGATCTGGTCTGTTCTGGGGAACACCACAGTGTATGCCATGGAACTGTAGCATGACAGATTAGACACTGCCACCTTCTGGATATATTCTGCTAGTAAACTTAATGCTGACCTCAAATCAAAATAGCCTTTTAAAAACAAATTAAAAACTCTACACTCTTGCAAAAGAGCCTTTTGTAAGTTGTGGGTTTTTTGTTTTTTTCTTCTTGTGTTTGAGTTAGCACTCAATGTGTTTGAAATAGAGATCAGAGTCTTAGTGACCCAGCATACTGCAATATACTGTAAACAGATTCCCAGTGCCAGAGTACTCGTGTTGACACTGTGATAAATGCTTCCTATTTACACCTGACTTAAATAACTGATTTATTTCAGTAGAACATGAGCTTTCTTTTAAAAAGAATATTTTCTATACTTGTTTTCATCCAGTTTCTCTAATTTTTTTCAGCTCAATGCAATGGCAAACCGAGCAGCAGGGAAGGGATATGAAAATGAAGACAACTACTCCAACATCAAGTTTCAATTCATAGGCATTGAGAACATCCATGTCATGAGAAACAGCCTGCAGAAAATGCTTGAAGGTATAACTGTTCTTTATTGAATCCCAAGAAAAAGATTAGACACAAATTAGAACTTCTCTGAAATCAGTAATAAAAGAAAACTTTATCTGCTAGCTCATGGACGTCTGGTATCATTACATTTAGGAGAATTTTCCTAATTGCAAGAACTCCTTGTTTCATGAGTAGAATCTAGATAAAACTTACATTAATGACAAGTGTAATTTGACTTTAATACCTTACTGCTGCTACTTCTTCCTTTGTAATTTACAGTTTGATGGTACAATGAAAAAATTGCTTATATCTGGCTACGACGGTGGTGGAAAACATAAAAGACTTTTTAAAAGTCTTTAACAAAGACTTAATAAAAACAGCCTCAAAGCATAATGACTTGATTTTTTTTTTTTTTCCTTTGGTCTTTTTACTTTAAATTTTAACAGAGATTTATTCATTTTCTGTATAGAGCGTGTCATATTAGGGCTATTTATGAAATAGTCAATATGTATAACCATTCTGCACCTTCATAATCCTACGGAAATGAAGAATAATGTCTTTATAAATAACTAGTGTATAAAGCAGCACATCTGTATTGCCATTTATTATTTGAATTACGTTGCTGCTAAGAGGACTTTTTGGAAAAGGATAAGGATAAACAAGCCATCCTTGACCTACAGTTAATTTGTTGATTTTTTTAACAGGCAAATAATGATCACTCCAGCCCACGTAGTGTCAGTGTTTACTTCATGTATATCATCAACAGAAGGTTTCTGAATGTTCAGCTCCTCAGCCAGCATGATCTAACTATCCTTGGCTCAGTGCTCTACCTATACCCCTTTATTGTTATTATTGCTACCCCTTTATTCTTTATTGCTGTATCCCATCATCCATGTGCAATGAATTCTAAATCTAAGAAGGCCGTAGGGAGAGATGTGTTGTGTTTCCACGTAAGAGCAATTTTTGAAAACCAGAAGCAAAGGATGATGCATGTGAACAGTCTCTTGTTGCTCCTCATTTCCTGTAGAGATGGGCCATCCCAAGAGGAACTCCCCGCTCCCCAGAGAAGTGCTGATGTGATTACTGCTTTTTGACAGATGTAGTGTCTCTGCCAAGTTCTACCCTCGCATGGGAATAACAAAGAAAGCAGGCACAGGAATTTACTTTGTCCTGTCCTCTTTGATCACAAATGTTTCTAAATCAGTCTGAGTGCACTTCTGTGGTCCCTGTTCAGTAACTGTGCTGTTCAGATGAAGGAGAAAGGTTTTTGGAACATTGCTCTGTGGATTACAGATGTGAGCATACCCAGAGTTACAGAAGACTTTAGGTTAAGATGTGTTTAATACATCATGATGTATTCTTGCTTAGTTACTTGAAGTGTAAGGTCTCAGAATGGAAAATAGAAGGTTTTTTAGCAAACTGCAAAGCCTTGTTTGGCTAGAACAGAGGTCGGCTGAACAAACCCATCCCTTTGTTTGCTCAGCTTGAGACCAGCAAGGTTGAAGCAGTAAACAACTGGCCTGGCTGCACGTGATAGAGCTGTGTATTATTTTAGACCAGAAGTTCATGAGCTGGGTTCCTGGCCCACACTTAGAGGTAACAACATAATTCCCAATAAATGAAATGAAACAGTGTTGCTTGGGGCAGAACTTCCTAGCATCTGCTGCAAGCATCTTTGTTTTGTTTTGTTTTCTATTGGATTTGTATTTGTTGTGCTGAAGTCTCATATTTAGAGATCCAACTATAAGATCAGAAATTAAAGAAGTGAATACTGCAAGACTTAAGGCTTTTGCTGAATCTTATGATTCAGCAGTTTAGTGCATAAGAAGGGCTTCTCTCATGTAAGGCATCAGACAGCTTTTCTCTTTTTTTTTCATTTGTGATTTTAACTTTAACAAACTTATTTCAATTAACTTTAACATAACTTTTTTCCTACATGTTAATCTTAGCAAAATTTTTAGTGAATTAAAATATAAATTATTAAATGTAATATTAAATTGGTTGGATAATGACTCTTTTTTTAGAATATACAAAAAAGTTAGGATTTCGCTTTAATATGGAAGAAAAATCTTTTTCAAGCTGCTGAAATTTCCCTCCAGAAAGCAATTGTTTTACTGTTGTCTCTTCTGCCTCATACTGCTTTGTATAATATAATATTTTATTTTTTAAATAGAGGTGTACATGATGGCACCTGCATTAGTTTTGATCCTGTGCACAACTTCCAGGGCATAATTCTTAGTATTAGAAGGAAATACCGTACAAGAACTTCTCACTGGAAAGACTGAAGTGCTGACTGTTGACTGGTATTTGTGATGACCTCTATCCACAGGGTCTTGATTTTCCTATGCCCAGCCAATGCTCTTTCCCATGGCATGGGTGCAAGAGGTCTTATTTCTCCCAGGTTCTGCTATCAAGTGGGTTTGTTTGGTTGTTCTGATTGAAAAAGGGTTCCAAGTCTTCTTTTTTTTTTTTTCTTTTTTCTTTTTTTTTGTTTTTTTCATGCCGATACCATTCTTTTTTTTCCCTATTGGGATGAAAATTCCATTTTTTCCCTTAGGAATTCATATCTGGACTCAGTATTAAGGTCCAGATCAGTCGCCAAAATCATGTGAAATATATGGTGTGTGCCTTTAGTTTAGGACAGTCTGAACTTTGCTCAGTGAAGTGGTAGGTAAATATTGATTCCAATTTGGCAGTGGGAATGAGCAAAGCACTATTTAGCTTTACCTTGGACTTTTGTAAACAGAGACAGCAGCTTCAGTCAAAATTGAGCTACTAATAGGTCATGCTTCCATCTGCACAGAAGCATTAATCATGAGAAAAGCTGTTTGCTCTCAGTGTTGCTATGTATGCATTTTTATAAATACCTTTCAAAAATGACTTTTAAAATCACCATCTGGAAGAGACCCTATGTACAAGGATTGCAAGATTTCACATGGACACATTAGGCTATTTTGCGTCTGAATTAAAAGGAGTGAGGACAGTTGGATACACTCAGATATGATATGAACTCTGAACTTGTCCTATAAAATGAAATTTTGGTCACATTGAAAGAAATGGAATTTTTGCCACAGATGAAAGTTAAATGAGCGTTTTAAAAGATGTTTAGAGATCTAGTCAGACACTATTAATTCACAGGTAATACATCGACTCAGTTTAAATAAGGCATTGTTTCACTGTATTCCTTAAAGGTTTCATCAGTTAATGTCTTTTGCTTTGTGACAGTATAACTGTACATGGATCAAAATAAATGTGTAATATATTTATGTGGTTAATTTAATATCTCGTTCCTGAGAACAGATCAAACCAAGTATTGCTGGGTGTTTGTTGCTGGAATCAAATATCTATCGTAGATTTGGGTGGCCTTTTTTATTTCTTGTGAAATAAGAAATAAGTAGCAAACTCTGTAATATTAAAAAATATGCAAATGAATATTGTTGGATAGATATTTAATGTTGTAAAAGCCGAGAGAGATTTATTTTCTTCAAACATGGTGCAGAGCTAGAAAAGTTTTCAGTAAAATGTTTTCCTTGTCGAGTTATGACTTTTCCTCGCCTTTAGGTGGTGTTTCCTGGCTGCATGTCAAATTTTAATAAGGCTTCATTGAGAGACAAGGAGCCATTGAGTGAACTGCTTTACCTGTAGCACCACTGTAGGTGGTGATGCCAAAGGCTGAATTTAGTGGCGCTGTTCTTAGAGCATTTTCTTAATTCAACTTCACCAGCAAATGTGGATGGGATAGGAGACTGGGGCATGATTCAGTGGTTGTCTGCCTGTCCAATGGCAGGAATGTGTGTATTATCTGATTCTATGCCCTCAGTATTAAATAGAAGTCCCTCTCTCTAAAGAGTTTGAGAACTACACTCACAACACAACTTGGAAAACATGTGCTGCTCAGAAGGATGTATTTGGTAAACTGACTGCAATAGACTTCCCAACAACAACTTTTAAATTGAAGTGTATGTACGTGGGGAAATTGTAGACAGCCCTCTTTCTCAAATGTATGAGAAAGTAATGGAATCATAGAATCACAAGGTTGGAAGTGACCTGCAAGCTCATCTTGTCCAACCGTCCTCCCTTTAACATTGCTATCACGAGCCTCTAAACCAGATTTCGTAGCTGTATAGTAATAATAGTTTACTTCTACTTTAATAGTAAAGTTTTGAAAGCATAAGGGACTATGTTGACTGTGCTTTTAAGATGAAGCTTATTTTACAGTTTGTGAAATGAAATCGCCTTCAATGAGTGACTTCCTGTGGGGCCTTGAAAATTCTGGCTGGCTGAAGCATATAAAAGCCATTATGGATGCTGGCATTTTTATTGCAAAGGTAAAGTGTGAACACGAAAACAGAACTTGGGCTGACCAGATATAGAAAGTGAGGACCAAATTCTTTGTCTGTGGGTAACTTCTGTTGTCTTTAGTGAAGTTGTACCTGAAACTAATATTTCCTGTGATGCTTCACATATAAGGAAAAACAGTCTTTAGGTGCTGTTACACGGACACTTTGATAATGGGGTAAAAACAAGTTTGTGTTACTTTGCACTGGAGATCTCAAATCTACTGCAGCCTCTACTATCCTGTATCTTATTATTGCCATAATGTCCTTATTCAAGACAGACAGGGAACTACTGGAGAGTCTAGCGGAAGACCACAGAGATGAACAGGGGCCTGGGGCATCTCCTTTGTGAGGAAAGGCTGAGACCTGGGACTTTTCCTGTTGGAGAAGAGGAGATTAAATGGAGATCTTATCAATGTTTATAAATATCTAATGAATGGGCATCGAGTGGATGGAGCCAGGCAACAGGACAAGGGGCAGTGGCATAAAATGGAGCACAGGGAGTTGCATCTGAACATGAAAAAAAATCTTTACTTCATGAGTGACAGAGACCTGGAAGAAGTTCCCAGAGAAGTTGTGGAATCTCCTTCTATGGAGATGCTCAAAACCCACCTGGAAATTTTCTTGTTCAACCTACTGTAGCGAACTTGGTTTAGCAGGGGGCTGGTCTAGATGATCTCCAGAGGTCCCTTCCAGACACAGTGACAACCACTGCTAAAATCACAGTTATTTTCACTATTCCTCTTGCCTTCTCCACTGCTTCCCTGTTGAAGGTTTCTTCTCTATGACTACTTCTTCACATTAAATTTGTCTTAAAGGAATATTAACATTATGCTAACATTAACATTAACATCTAAATTCACTTCCTAACCCAGTACCTGTCAATTACAATGGACAAACTCTCTAGTGACTTCTACTCTTAAATGCTTGATAACTGCTTCAGAGAAAAAGTGCTTTAGTAAGAAATTATTTCTTCTAATCCTCAAGTAATACAGATATTTGTCATCTACTAAAAGTAATTTTAATTTTATTACTTCCATCCTTGAGCAGCATCTTTTACTGGTTCTGTTCTTATTTTTTAAGAACATAAATAAGAACTGAACAGTTCTTTTTAGTGCAGGCCATTTTATTTACAAGACCTTCCATTTAGGAATATATGGACAAACTTAATGGATCTCTCACCTCAGCATCTGCTCATTTCTCTTGCCTTGCTTCTTCCTGCTCAGCAGTTGTAGTTTCTTACCTGAGCACCAGCTGCAGGATAAACACATTTTTTCTCCCAGCGCTACTAGCTTACAGACATCAAATCATTTAATTAGCTTTTGCCAGCTTATTCCTCAGCATTAATGTATGCCAGTGACTCAGCATTAATGTATGAAAAAATGCATTCTTTCTCCATATGGTTGCTACTCTTACGCTTCCTTGGGCATGCATTTTGACTTATTCTTATTTGCACAGTTCCCTGTTCTCAGTTTTTGGTCTTCTGCCCACATGGGTTCTATTTTAGTAGAACATACTTGTCTCTTTAGATAAACATAGATAATTTATTATTTCTCTTTGTTCCCTTTTAAGCCCACATTTAATCTAAACGTTTGTTTTCTTAAGCAGTGTCTTTCCTAAACTATTTTATTTCTCTGCTTTCTAAGTATAGTTCTCCTTAAAAATGACAAATACCAAACTCCTTAGAATTTAAAATAACTCTCAACTTCCAAAAATAATGCAGCACAAGACTCTGGAAAATTTAGTATAATCCTTTCTTTATGTGTTTCTCCTGGATTATGTATAAAATAGTTTTCTCTCTCCAGAGTTTTACTTTAAAGTGATTGTTACAATCTTGCTTATTAGATATGAATGTTCACCACTGCCACAGGCTTTGCCCCAAACCATGACAAGCATGTATTTAATGCAGTATGGTGTGATAATATCCATGGTAACATCCTGGCATCAGAGGCTGACATTGCCATTATTGACATATTCATCAAGGAGAGAAATTAGGTATCACATGGAAATATGGCTGTTCTGCAGCTGCTGTGAGTGAAAGCATTAGCAGTAGCTGAATTAGCTTTAAGTAACAGTCTACTCTGAGCAACTGATGTATTTTAATCGTCCTGTGATCTGTGTGGTCAGATTATTCATGTACACAGCTGGCCTTCTGCACTGAGAACTGGTGAAGCCATCATCCAGATGACTGTGCTGGTATATTTTTGAAAATGTGCCTATTCTCATCTGAAATACAGGGAAAAGTTCCTATCATGTGTTATAAATGAGATTTTTATAATCTTCTCCTCGAAGTTCCCAGATCCAATATTTAGATCTCGTTTGCGTTCGCAGAACTGTGAGCTGGTACTGCGATCCAGATCTTCTCCATCCTGGGTACGGTCAAAGGGTTATTTCTTCCTCTTCTTTTTACATAGCCCAAAGGCATATTTAGTCATTCCATGCAGGTAAAACAACTTCACTATAAGTACTGAAAGTAACCCATAGCCAGAGTAGACAACAACTTGGCAATTAGAAAGACTGCTTGACACATGGCATGAGATTCACTGCTCCTTTAGTGTAATCACTGTTGATATGGATCCCATTTCCTCCTGTACTGGTACATTAACAAGTGATGCTGCAGCCACCATGCTGCATAGGATAGGATAATATAAAGACCTTGCAAATGAGAAAAACTTCAGAAAGTCTGTGGCAGAATAAAAAATGGAGTTTCCCAGTTCCCAAATGAATGCCCTCCCTACTGTGCTGTCTCACTTTTCCTCTCTTACCATTGCTTCTCCTCTGTCTGTGAAATCTCCAACTTTTTCTGTGTTCTCAGGCTGTGGCTGAGGAAGGTGTAAGTGTGCTTGTTCACTGCTCTGATGGCTGGGATAGAACAGCCCAGGTTTGCTCTGTAGCAAGCCTTTTCTTGGATCCGCATTACAGAACTATGAAGGGATTCATGGTAAGCAGGTTTTTTTTCAGAGAGTAAATGAAAATTTTATGGTATCATTTTAGAGAACATTAAGATGAATGGCTTTGTTTCTAATGGAAAATAAATTTCCTTTAGTATGCCTTTTCAGCTAGGTACACACCTATTTATTTTTTTTCCCTAACCTTGACCAAAAAACTTTCTTGAAGCCCTAAGGATTTATTTACTTTATTTTTTTTTTTTTTTTTGTGCAAGCAGGAGTTTGTATTTATTTTCAGGCATCGTGAAGTTGTGAGTGTCAAAGTTGTGTGCTCCCTGGACACTAGATTGCAATGAATGAGCTTGTTGAAAAATCCGTTCCTTTTTCAAAGCAAATCAGCCCTAGTTGTTAAGTTAATGGGCACTTATTAAAAAGAGGTTTGAAACATTGGTAGGTTCTATTTTTAGAAAATGATGAATTAAACTAATTTAAGTTGTGCTGAAATACTAGCATCCTACCTGCATTGGTCAAGAATGCTACTTTCTCTTGAGCTGCCACTGGTGCACATTGCTTGTTATTTTTCTGCTTTCTGTAAAAATCACTTGAGATTCCAATACTGCTTGCTTACATCATATCTGGCTCGTCTCTTTTCTGCTTATTCTGAACATTACCTGGGATTCTAATACTACTTGTTTATACCATTCTTCTGCCTGCTTCAACATGTGTCAGCTCTGCTCCACTACATTGAAGGCAATATTCTCATTTTAGGTTTTAATTGAAAAAGACTGGGTTTCCTTTGGTCACAAATTTAATCACAGGTAAGGCCATGCAAAGGTTTTTCTCTCTCTATGTATATATATGTATTATGTTGTCATTTTCCACTGCCATTCGTTACTTGTTGTCATTCAAAGCATATCAACAAAACACCCTGAGTGTATCACATTTTCTCCCACTATATAATTTAGCTACCTGGAAAAATTGAAGTGAAATATTTTCTTCATATATTTCTTATATATGCACTCAAAGATTGCTGGGAATACTGAGTGCTGGCCTTGCAGTTGCTGTGTGCAATGAGAGATGCACGCGAGAGAAAAGTATGTGGCTTGTAAAATGCCTTTGGAACCCAGCAGATGTTTCAGCAATGCCAAGACTTCTCATGTCAGGAAAGCATCCATCTTCTAGGATAGTATTAATAGATAACTCATAGACATGCCTACAACTAAGATATACTTTTCCTATTATGCTTTTTTCTCTAATGAGAAAATTTGCTCAGAAATGTCCAAATATACGACTTTTTCATTTCATTTATCTGACAAGTTATCTTGGGCATCTGGAACATAATACTGATTGATATGAGTATAAATTTATCTTGTAGTTAAAACAAATTTTCAGGAAATCTTTGCAGTGCTACAACACCTGTGAAATTCCAGCAGGAGAAGTAGAAATTTCAATTTTAGATGTTGATGGATTTTCACTGCATTGGCATATATGTGTCATGTTTTTGTATACACACACAGACACACACTATACATGTACTAGACAAACAGAATAATTAAAAATACTCCTTCCTATTAGAAGGACTTATGAAATACTGTTCTACTTCTGTGTTTTGTATTTCAGGCTTCTGTTCTTCAAGGTCCCCTGCAGCAAGTTGTTCCAACAGTTTTACAGATAGAAAATTTCCCATTACTTGGTAGATACAGTAGCACGTAAATAATTTCCCACTTTCTAAAAATGTCACTAAGAGAGGGCAGCCTTAAACTATTTCCTGCCAAAGTTATGCATTTCATCTCCAGCTCTGTTTTCTGGGTCTGGCAGTGGTCTACCATTCAGAGGCTGTCCAGGATAGCTCGCTGAAGTTGTTGCAGTTATTCTTAGGATGACTTCTGTTACTGTGGCACAACTGTCTAGTAATAAGGTTGAAGTATAGCTATGCAGCAGCCAGCTGTAACAGGCTGTGAAGCAACAAGGTACTTGTAAGCTCTTTTGTTCCTATTTGATAAGTACTGCTTTCCTTCTACTTCATGAGTCTTGCATCATTTTTGTAAGTAAAAATATACTTGTGTTTGAGATTTCAGAAATTAATAGCTACGATATACATGTATGCTGAAAATGAGAGTTTTGTTTTCACTAGCATAAATTCAGTTTTCCCAGAAGATTTCAGGTTATAATTGAACATTTTTTGTCTTGGTTTAGGTATGGCAATTTAGATGGAGATCCAAAGGAGATATCCCCTGTTATTGACCAGTTCATTGAGTGTGTCTGGCAGCTAATGGAACAGTTTCCTTGTGCCTTTGAGTTCAATGAGAGATTCCTGATCCACATACAACACCACATCTATTCCTGCCAGTTTGGTAATTTCCTGTGTAACAGCCAGAAGGAGAGACGAGAGCTGAAGTAAGAAGGCCTTTTCTTTAGTCCTTTATTCTGTCGAGGTCTGTGGGTATTACTGCATTGAAGCTGTGCAAGGTTTCATACAGTTCAAGGTGCAGTGTATTATTCTTGGTTGTCATCTTCTAGTGACACAGATTAATACCAAAAGAGTTGATCCTCTGCAGTGGGACTCTGCTGTGACTATAATCCGTAGTGTGCATAACAGGGATTAGTGAGAGAACTGATGAGAGAGCATTAGGTCTCTAGCCACTGCATTAACAAAATACAAGGTAATTGCCCATGCAGCTTTGAAGAAATCTGAAGATGATTCTAACCCTCGTTAAGTTCTCAGTTTAAGAGTCACTGTTCCTCTGTTTCCTAACCTGTATATGAGAACTACATGCTTCCTGGCCAATACTCAACTCCACCATCGTATGGCATAAGTTGTGTCCATAACCCAGCCTTTGTGATCCACATAAAAAGCATTGAACCTTAAAAAGAAGCAGAAAGTCTCTTTGCCTGACAGAATCATGATACTCCCTTGTAAAGCATTATTTTCTGAAGATTATTTTTGTAAAGATTATTTTGTGTAGTAACTGTCAGTGCCAGTGGCATGATTACAAGCCCAACATGACTGAATTTAACTTAGGGTAGAGAAAACAAATGACTACTCAGCCTCTGCAGCCAGTTAGCATTCATACAGATATCAGGCTTACCAAGTCTGTATGACCAGCACAAGTTACAAATGACTCCCTCCTAGTTTCACCAAGGCCTCCCTGTACTTATAACTTACATCTAATTCTGCTAAGAAAGTATAAAGCTGACTACAAACAGAGCACTGGAATGCCTTAACAGAGCTTTATCAATACCTGAAGCATGCTAGACATGTTTATATACTTGACTATATTTTTTCAGAATCCAAGAACGAACATATTCACTGTGGGCTCACTTGTGGAAAAATCGTGCAGATTACCTGAATCCTTTGTACAGACCAGACCACAGTCAAACCTGGGGGACCCTGCACCCACAGATGGCTCCCTGCAACTTCTTGTACAAGTAGGTAATATTTCCTGCCTTTGAGAATTGTCAGTGAACAGACTCCTTGCATATTTGCTGCATTCCACACGGGAGGTTTCTTCAGCACTTTTCTTTTTTAAGAGAGGAATATCCCAATAAGTTATCTCCAATAATTACTTCACATATCACACCCTGTGACCACAGTCACTAAAGCATCTCAGTAGTTAGAAGGAACTGGGGAGATCACATGAAGTCTGGTTATGAGAATTAGAGCTCAAGGGGCTCTCAGGCTGCTCGCTATTTATGGGGTAAGATGATTGGCTCATAGTCGTAGCATTTAGTGGGACAGCGTTATCAGTCCTAAGCTAGGCTTGTGCATAACAACCAAGCCAAAGGAGGATGCTAGGGAGGGGGGGAGCACACCCTCACAGATGTGTTAGTACAGAACATAATGCCTTTGTATTTATGATTCCATTCGAAAATGTATGGAGACTGAATTCAGATTCAGATGCAATGTGTCTCTTCCTTGCATGCTCATAGTCAGCCAACACCTCTGCAGCATTCCACAGCAGAGTATTAGTCTGAAAAGAAGCTTAAGATTAGAGCTATATTGATAGTTGTGTGTCCTAATTTTGAGGTTACTCACATCTTCCACTGAGAAGCAGCTATTTCAGTTCTGTTGTCATCAATGTTTTCTAAATTTGAATTTATTTAAACTTCTTCCATTTGCAGTCATTTTTGCAATCATAATTTGATACAGTTTAATTGCCAAACCAAGCATTCGGACAAAAACAGAAGGCAGACTTTCTCCACGTTGACATTATACTTAAATATCAAGTAAAACCTGTTGTGTGTACTACTGAGATTTTTTCAAAATTTAACAATGCCTGTTAATTTTTGCAATGCTGGTATTGGCATCCTGACTCAAGTAATTAATAGTTCAATTAATCTTAACATAAGGAGAACGTGATTAGAAATACACAAAAATGTGACTTAAGCAAAACCAATTAGCTTGTTTTCTAATAAAAAGTAAAATCCTTTGCTAAAATAAATACCCTGGGTGACAGGAACTGTATTTTTTCATGTCTGCTCTCCCAGGTCATAGCCATTTTAAAACAGTTTAAAAATAGCTATTAATCTTATTCTTTGGTAAAGTGAGATTTATAAAATACTGATACTCCACTGGATGAATAATCCAGTTGATTTTAATTGAATTACTTGGTTGCGTGAGGATTTCCAAACATGAGCTATCAGATGATAAACTTAGGAGAGAATCTGACTTAAATAATGTACTCAGTAGCTTCTTGACTGCTGCATCCAAAGGCAGCTCTCTCAGTTACTTAACCTGTCTGGTGAACTACTTACATTTCCAAAGTCAGGTTCCGGCCACGTGCTTTGAGGAAAACAGAAGAGTGCTACAGCAAGCTACAGACTTGAGATTGAGTTCTTTTCTCCCAAGGATGAAAAAGAGCTCAATGCTCCGAAGTGCACACAATGTAAATAGAAGAAAGTACTGTAGCAAAAGTTTGCGTTACTCTTGGCGGATACTTGTTCCTCTGATAGGCTGTGCCATTGCTTATCCACAATGAGATGAATTGCTGAAAGCCTGAATCAGTGAGCCACCCAAAGCTCACTATGACCCAAGTCATTCACCTTTCTCTCTGTTTCGTATAAGAAGTGGTTCAAGCTCTGTCCATTGATTTGCATCTTCAGCATGGACCTCATGTAAATGAACCGTAAACCTTACCAAATAAATATTTAATGAATGTATGCAACATGTACACACTCCAATGACAGCTGGGAAAAAAGGGAAAAAAAAGTATGTATTTAAGTCTTCTGAAGCCATCTCACAAAATTACTGATCACCCCATCAATTTCAGATTCTGGAGTGGTATGTACAACCGCTTTGAAAAGGGGCTGCATCCTCGACAGTCAGTCATTGATTATCTGATGGCAGTGAAGGAGGAGACTCAACAGCTGGAAGAAGAACTGGCAGTCTTGGGAGAGGTAATAAGCACTTATAAAAATCTGGGACATTCAGACCTAATGGCAAACAAAACCCGATTCCACATGTGGAAGAGTCTCCTACATGCCTTGTCCATTTCTGCCATGAGGATGTCCATCCACTGTCCACATCCTCACATAAATTGCTAGGAATGCTTTGCTTTTGGCATCCATAAGACACAAAGGTGGACTTCTTTATTTAAGGAATAAAAAAATCATGTGTTGGTGCACAAATACTATTCCTGAAGCAAATTTTGTATCATTTAGTAACTCAGTTCCGCATACTTCACAAATAGGTTTATAGGGTGCCACTTGGGTTGGGCTCTTCAGTTTCTTTGTTTTTCAAAAGGTAAAGACACTTAAAAGGAAACTGAGTCTTAAATGTGTGCATGTAATATATACTCTCTCCTTTATTTCAGAGATTGGCAAATCTTCAAAAACTGCAATTAAGTGGTAATAAAGTCAAGAGTAAGCAGCAAGACCGAAGCAAGGAGTTAGTGCTTTCTGCTTCCAACAACAGCTTAGCTAACACTCCCCAAGAGTACAGCAATGATCTGAAATCTTTCCCATCCCGGAGCCCTTCACAAGGGGATGAAGAAGATTCAGCCTTGATTTTGACACAGGACAACCTGAAAAGCTCTGATCCTGACCTCTCAGCTAACAGTGACCAAGAGTCTGGTGTGGAGGACTTAAGCTGTAGGTCTCCAAGTGCAGGTGGCTGTTTGCCTAGCGAAGACAGTGGCAAGGATTCAGATGAAGCTGTATGCCTGGCAGTCTGAAATGCCTTCACAGCAGCAAGGATCAAGATGCAGCTGAGTCCTTCGTGGTCTGGAGCAACAACTTTTAATCAGATGAAGAATGGGAATTGTCTGTGGCCTGAAGAAGTAATCCAAAGAAAGGGAACTGTGCAATTATGTAAGTAAAGATTTAGCAGAACAAGCCATTATTAAAGACATAATGCTAATCTCTGATGTTATGAATATTTATTTAAGCCGATGTGGTGTTTCCTTTCACTTTATCAATGCTGCACATAATTATTCCTCACCCTGTACATTTCCATAATTATTTATTGTACAAATTAATAGTTATTCTCCAGAAACACAAAATTCCGAAGTACTTTATGTATGGACAAAGCTGAAGGTTCATTAGCACCAGGCTTACTGGTGTATTAGTCAAAACTTTTTGTTGTAGATTCTTTTTGCCGTTGGACATACCTTATATTCCTTTCTTTTCCCATGAGCAGTGTTGTTGTTTTTGTTTTGTTTTGTTTTTTTGAACTCCAGCAACTACTTTCCATTTTCTCCTACTACGGTCCTTTAAGGCAGTGTAAATCCAGCAAATGAACATGTTTGCTGAAGGGAACAAATGCAGTATTGAGCCCAAAGATTCTTTACAAGCTGCAGCTGCTGAATGTGACTGCATCCCAATTGTACTTGATTCTCAACCAGTGCTGAAAGTTCAGAAGTTTCTGTGAGCGAAACTTCAATCAATATAACAATACTTATAACAGTCTTTATGGCAAAGAATACCTTTAAAATGAACGATGTTAGGCCGTAAAATTCTAAACATAATAAAAATCCCGGCTATTTTGACTCCTAATCAGTGTTATTTCAGTGGGAGTAAGACACACATACTGCACAGGTGATAAGGAGTCCAAACTCATTCATAAAAGTCATTTATGAAAGCACTGCTTAAATTCAGAATTAAAAGTTACTGCCATACAATAATTCCTATGAAGAATATTTCTTCCAAGTTTTGTTTAAAAAACAAAACCAAGGTGTTTTTATCTGCACAAAATTTTTCTCTTTTTAGCACTTGCCAACCTCAGAAGAGCATAGTAATGCTAATTTAAGAAAATGACTAATTCAAAGAATTTTTTTTTCCTTTTCTAATATTAAAGATGGAGTGGAACAACAGAATAGAAAATATAATCTCAAGTTTGTTTTAATAATTTTCAACAGTAGGTACAATAAGTTTTCATAATCACAGATATGGAAGTAAACCACTTAGGATGTTTTGAAACACACTGAAAGGCCTCAACATCAAGCTGTAGTGCTTCCAAGTCTTTTTTTTTTTTTTTTCTTTTTTTTTTCCCCTCCTTAATAGGAAGGAATTAACAATAAAATTATTACATCTGCTCTTACTGGCTTGGAGGCACTCATGTGGTATTGAGCTACAGTAAAGCAAAGCATGGTAGTAATGTAAGTTTACTTTGATTGCACTTTGTACTTCTCCTTGAAGTACAGATTTACAGGCTGAATTATATAAATATACCTCAATTTAGAAGCTTTAGATTTTATTAGTCCAGTTGCTTTTGTGAGATGTCTTTTCATTTTGTTCTAAGAACTTCTTATTAAAAATGAGTAGCTAAACTTCAGTATTATTAATATCCTAAGGAAGTTACTGTCTTTGAACAAATAATTCAATTCTTAACAGCAAGATTTATCTTACTGCTGTGCTGGGAAGGCCAAGCCTCAGTTGATAAATCACTGTCACTCAATTAAAAGTAGGGCTATGATAAATTACATGCTGCTGAAAATCTACAGCCTTCTGGTTTTTAATCTCCATGGCTTTTTATTAAACGAATGTCCTGATTTTAATTGTACTTTTAAAAATGTTTCATATTTTGAACGTAGCCTGTCAAATTTATGGCATTAAAAGAAGTTTTGAATGGGTTTTCTCAAAGTAAAGAAACATGCTGTGAAGTCAGCATTGAAAACAAAATATGTACAACTATTCTTCCTAAAAATGAGTTTGAGAGTGGGTAATATTATTTCACATCTTTAAAATGTAGAATTGTATATCATGGTATTGTACTGTATTAGACATGCTTATAAACAAATGCAGAACAGGAACATATGCAAACTCAAAGTACTATCTTCATGTTGCTTATGCAATTCCTTATAACTAGCTTTACACCTGAAATATTGACATACTAACATTTTAAATGAAGTTTCTGCTTAGCAGTCAGTCTGCTGTGATGTGTCTTTGAATCCTTGGAATTTTGCACTACTACTATTGTTTTCATTGCAATGCTATGTATTTGTGACATTAGTGCTGAGAAACAATTCCAAATAAATACGTAGGTCATGGACAGATGGTTACATTACTTCATAATCCTGGATGAAATTAAGGTGGCTTTTTATTTCACACTTGAATCAAGTTGTTTAAGCTGCTATTAATTGACTTGAGTTTATTACATGGGAATCTGTTACATCCCTTTAATTTTTCTAGGGAATGCAGAATACAAAGGATGTGAAAACCACGCTATGAACAATTTTATTTTTTTGGAGCCTTGCAGGGATCCTCCCTCTGTTGCAAATTCTTCTAAATTTGGCATAAACCCTCTGTAATTTGCAATAGGACACACATGAGCATAACAAACAGCTGAGAAGAAGGAATTAGAAAAGCATTATAGGTTTTTGCAGAGTAATTTTAACCTCATTTCATGGTGTTCTTTAGTAGGAAAATATGTATCTAAAGGACACTGAAGTTAATGGGATCAAACAGTGAATCAAATAGCTGATCTCTGGCTGAAGAAGGGAACGAAAAAGCACTGACCAGCTGCTTTACACACAACATCAACAAAGGCAGTAAACTGGTAGTTGATTCCGAGAAGTTGAGAAATAAGATGGAAAAAGTTGGAGGGGACAGCTGTATGGGAACTGCTGAATCATGGCCTGAACCTCTGATTGATCACCTGAGGTGAGCAATGAGCCACAGGAGCACAGGTGAAGGCAATTTACCTGTGCTGCCGGAAGGGGTGGAGCCTGGCTGCACCTCTCCTAGACCCTTTCAAGAGTTGGCTACCAGTGGGGAAGGATCTCTTCTGGAGATCCACTCCACCAGAGTTTTCCACGCAAGCCCAGGATACGGGTAGTGTACCTATCGTTTCTGTTTCCTGCTTTGGCGTAATAACAGCTACGTAGCCAAGCTCTCTGCTATACCATAACATCTGTATATTCATTAATTGTACAGACAGCCTAGAGGGAAGGATCTTACCAAAAGCAAGGAACAGGGAGGAAAGCCCTTCATAAAATTAAGTGAGGGGGTGAGCTACACTCTTAGAAGTTACAGTGAGTTTACATAGCATAGAAGATGTTTGGCAATACAAATACAATAACTAAAACAGCAATAACAAAGAGGTGGCCTTTGCCTCGAGGACAAAGATTTCAACAGGAGTACAGCAAACCTGTATTGAGAAAGGCCAGAAACATTACCAGAGAACTGGGAGATAGAAAAGAATATTAAAATAAGCACTTAACTTACATTATTTAGACTGGTAACAATAAGGCACCAGAAGCCAGCAAATACTATTTTAAAATTCAGTAGTTTTCTAATATGAAGCATTCTGTAAAAGAATCTAACTAGACTTTACTGGTTCACTAGAACCAGTGACTGAACTGAAGCAAGGACTTGTTTTTAAGTCCGTGGCTTGCGGAAGTATTTTGAACAATGCACTGTTCTCAACAACTGAAAACTTCAGTTCTTTTCTTACTGTGTTACAGTACTCACTTATTACTGGTACACAGGCTTTCTTTGTAGCTTATTACTATATTTGATCTCTAGGACTATCTGATCAAGCCAAAACATGTAAAAAAAGCTTGAACTAGAGCTGCAATACGGGTTTTCAAAACCCATTTTAATGAAGATGACTCCAGGAATTACTGCAGTTCAAAGAGTTAAACAAAAAAAGCTCAAAACACTGCATACAAAGAATGGAAGTTTGTCTTTTTGAGTAGCTTCTGCACCACCGGTTTCCAGCCCAACATCTGAAATGCGTAACTCTATCTGTAATTTAAAACAACTACCAAATTTGTCAAAAATCCCAAAGCCTTTATTTGTAAGTTTAACACAGTACAGTATTTATTATTCAGAGTAATGTACACAATAAGGCTGTAATAGCTGACTTTAACTGTGTTGCCTGTGTTTTATTTCAGCTTTCTCTCTTAAGAGACCATTCCTAGTCTTCAGTGGTAGTAATTAAAACTCGGTCAGAAACACGACTAAAAGATTTCTCACTTCTGCATTTGATCAAGGTCCAAAGTGGCAAAGCTGAAGCAGTATGTACAAAGCAAAAAAGACAGTTAAAGATTAGATATTACTCAGAACTAATTTTTATAGTCTTTTGCTTGTAGCGTTGGTTAGCATAGCTGTACATATCTGACAGTCCTTGTCTTTCAGAAGGGTTTAGCATGTAAAATGAGCTGTGACATCTAGGAAAGCTTTCTTCTATAATCCCCAACAGAATGTACCATTAACAGCAGTTGTATGCTATTTCCCCCTAAAAGGAAACCTAATTGATTTCAGACATACTGCAGACCAGAGAAATTTTAAAATACCATTGAGTTACAATTGCTATATGGAGCAATCAGTTCTGGATTTAAGTAGCCTCTTGCCAAGAGGACTAAAATCAATTACAGAAAAATAAAGAACAGGAGAACATTTTGCGCTGAGATCAGATACTCTAACAGACACAACCAGGCTCAATTAGCAGTTACAAAACAGAATGGGCCGTCGCTCCCACCCCAAACTACTGCAACACCAAAAACACCAAAGTCACCTCCTTACTTTCACGTTTCTTTCATTTATTTCACTCTTCCATTCGATAAAACACCTCAATATGGATGTGACACGGGAAGGTCTTCAGAAACCAGTCACTGTGTGCAACCTATTACTCCAGACTGCTGAACACATTTCAAAAGATTGAAGGATGTGCATCTAACAGCAGTTTCAATCCTCTTACACTTTATAGGGAATTGCTTGAAGCTCAATTTACAAATACACCTCACATTTCTGCAAAATAAGGTAAGGAACGTGCTTCACTATGAACTATCAGCATGCTAGATTCCAGTTACCTCTCACAGAGTAATAATTGGTGTTTTATTATGTGTTCTGGTGACATTAAGAAAGCTAGCTTTAAGGGAAGTGTTTGCATTGGCATAACTAGTATTAAACTAAAAGGACAACAAAAGAAAATAAAAAGCAACAACACTGACAAAGACAGCAGCAGACTGGCATATCCTGCAAGAGCCAGAAGCAGGCTGGCCATTCCTATTTATTTTACAGGATATCTGTAATTGACTAAGTACACCACTGATGGATTCAGGGTGTTCTGAGCTTCTGTTCTACAGGATGAGTTTTTAAATGCTTTAAAAAAAATAAATCTTTAAAATAGAAACAACACTATAAGAGAGAAAATAAAAAGGGAGAAAATGAAGGACTTCAGATTTTCACATCCCTGTAAAAGAAACACTGTATGAAGGACTTGCATGGAACACTGACATCTTAGATTCTCCCTCACTACCATCAGAAGGACTGTATGGAGAAACCCTATGTTTCTAAGTGTGATCTCTTGGAAAACAGAACTAACCTAAGAGAAAAGGCTCAAGTGTGGAAAACTCCTACTAGTTTGAGAAGCAAATTCTCTGAAAGTGACCTGGCTGGAGAATTCACTCACTACAGAAGAGCACCATAATATGTAATGTTCAACAGAAGGCAGTAATTCCATAGGATTATAAGATGTGCAAGGAAAACAGCTGTCCAACTGAGGAAGAGCTGCAGAAATCACATTACTGGGAGATTTGTGTCCAGAGCCTCCTGAAAACCTTTCATGCAAGTTTGTGTTGAATTGGGGCTTTAGTTATCAAATTAACATAAGTACTGCATCAATATAAAAAGCACTATTATGCACAGTCAGTGGAATTTATCTTTTAAGATATTCTGTACATTATTGCTTAATCAGTGGCACTTACAATTAATTTTTTCTTCAGGCACCTATGTATCTTTTTTGATTTGGACCACAGTTGTATTTTTCTTGGGATAGCCAATCTCAGAATTTGGGCCAGCTTTACAAACAACAACCACCACCTCAAACAGCAGTAATACATTTGCCACGAAAGGCAGTAGTTTAAGACAGACAACCACAATACTGTAAAGTACAACAGGACTGATATTAACGTTCCATTTGAAGATTCACTAGCCTGTGGTACTGACTTCTTACAATTAAGCTTGTTAGATTTTTTCTTAGCTTCAGATTTACTCATTTTTCTCCAGTTCCAAAGAAATATCATGTCCCATTTTGCCAGTATTGAGTATAGGACTGATAGTGATACAGAAAAGTACTCTTCCGAACCAGCCTTAATGATTCTACGACCTGCTTTAGAATGAGGCTTGAATCGGTGATGCTTTGGCCCTACATAGGTAAAATAGAACAGTGTCTTAGTTAAGAGGGTTATCTCCAAACTGTTTCCTGATAAGGAAGAAGCAGGCTCCCTGACAGATCACTTATTCAGTTCTTTACCATATTTCTCTTCAAGAACAATACTTCTGTTCTTCTGGAACTTCATCATCTCAACAAAAGTCTAATTCACTGACAAGAACAAGATCTTGCCTTTTTGCAAGAGCAAGAGAGAATATACGTACATGTGCTTTGGGGTTGTATTTTTGTCCTACAGAATACTGCACTTAGTCCTAGCCATTCTCATCTAATACATGTTTACACTAAAAAAGAAACAAACAAGTTGTCTAACCTGAGACAAGATTCAGTGATTAAAGGGCAGACTTAAGGCTCACTTACAAGTTTATCACTGGCCTTAACACAGCACACAACCTAACTGTAGCCAGATCAGTTCCTTTGTTGCTTAAAAACAAGAGGGTAACTGCTGCTTCAAAAGAAATTCTGAATTAAATTTTGTAGTGTCTTTGAGTTCTTCACACATAGTCGCATTGCATAAAACACAAACTAGAAGGTAATCTGACTTGTTTCTCAATAAGTAAAAACGAACATGAAAATGAAATTGTTAGATGAAATTGTGTTTAATTACAGTGCTAGGTACCAGGCCACACCTGAAATCAAGTGCATCGGTGCTACTGAGCAACATATCAAATCTACACAGAGATCGTTCATTCCATTTTGTTTCCAATGCAGTTTGTTCCAACACAACTTTTGCTTAATCCAGATCAGCTTATCCAAAACAGAGTATAGGCTATAATTAGTTTTGTGTTATCACTTAAAAGTAACAAAAACTGTTCTTAAACATTTTGGCTTCAAGAAAAGACAGCTTGTGAATTTACTGACTATCTCCAATTACGAACTTCTTCAGTTTCCAAAGCTCTATCACCATTTATCTCAAACTCTTCCACAGATCAAGCCAAATCCTTTTAAATTTCAAAATACAAAAGATATGAATTATGCTTTTATAAAAATGTAAAAAGCTAGTCAAAATTACATATTTAGATATTTAATCTTTGAAGAATGGGGTATAGCAGCAGGAACTTAAATATAATAAGAACTATCAACAATAAATACAAGAAATTAGTGCAAAGTTTGCAATAGAAGGATTCTTGAGTACAATGAGAATATAAAGAGACATTCTAATTTGTACAAAAACAGTCCCAGCTCTGTATACAATCTTCTATAAATACAACCACATAAGATGAAATGCCTATTTGCAAATAATAGTTATTAAAAAGTGTGCTTTACTGGGTTTTTCACTCTTCTGTTGGCAGATGTAGTTTGCAGGAAACCTGTAAAGACAGATTTCCAAAATTAGATATATTAACTCCTTCAGGAATAGTGTCTTAAATTTCAGTGAACAGGTGCAGCACGCTTTATTCCCAATCCAAGCATTATTAAAACTCTAGGCATTGCAACAAATCCATTGCAGTTAGCAATTTGTGTGTAACAGTGTGGTAGATTAAAAAAAAATAAATTCATCACAAATATTAAAACAGCAGTTTACCTATAGTGGAGCATGAAATTGGCTGTGCATTGCTATTGCCTGTTGAAGTTTTTCTTCTTTGGCTCGTCTACAGTGGCAGAGCTGGAAGAGACAGGAGAGTCAATTCTGAAAGGAATTTTGCACAACGTGTACTGCAGATTCTCTTTAATGACTTAGCTACTGTGTAGGCTCTTTAAGAAGGGAAAGACCTGTGAGCCTCCCTTCCAAACTCAAGGCTGAACAACTGTGTATACTGATAACATTGTTCCATCCACAACTGCATACATTAAAAACATTTCCTTTATTATGAAATGCATTTATCAGGTACCTTTAAAGAATGGTTCATTATACAGTAAGTTGCACTCATCACTGCACGAGCACTGATTTTGAACCTGCAACTTACTTGGAGATAGCCATCAAAAGACTTAATTAGTTTAAGAACTTTAATAACTTCACCATTATGTTATTCATTATAACATGTCACGCTATACCAACTTCCAAATATAAAATTTTTGTTCCCTGTATCTACAGACAATACAGGGAAAACTGGCACAAAAATACCTGCAACAGCACAGGCAGGGGTCTAGTGGAGAAGATCTTTTCATTCCTGCCTTAAATTTATTGCATCCAGAACGCTGATTCTATTTTAAATAAACCGAAACTTTTTGGAGCTTGCTAAAGCACCCTCTGAATTATAGCACTGCTCAAAATCTGTCTTAATTTATTACCTATATTCTGTATATCTCTCAGATTAGAATGACTTGTATTTTATATACCGTTCTCTTTTCCATGAAGCTACTAAGAAAGTCATCTATTTCTGTTTTGCCTTCCAAGAAGTCTTCTGCAATAGTGTCAGATTCCTCTTCAGCTTCATGAGCAGCTACTTTAAGTCTGGCTTGCAGAGCGCTTGGACTGCAACTCTAAGAAAATAAAAACTTCTATTAATGCTGCACTGCCCATCTAAATCCACATTACCAAGAAGAAAAAAAGATATATGGCTATATAAATATGGGATACGTGAATAATACAGAATCACAGAACCAGAGGGGCTAGAAAGGACCTCTAGCTATCATCTAGCCCAACCCCCATGCAAAACAGGCTCCCTAGACCAGGTTGCACAGGTAGGTGTCCAGGCTGGATCTTGATCACTTCCAGAGAAGGAGACTCCACAACCTCTCTGGGCAGCATGTTCCAGTGCTCCATCACCCTTACCATGAAGAAGATCTTACACATATTTGTGTGGAATTTCCTATACTTCAATTTGTGGCTGTTTCTCCTTGTCCTATCACTGCACGATGCTGAAAGAGTTTGGTCTTGTCCCTTTGTCTCCTACACCTAAAGACATTGATCAGATCCCCTCTCAGTCTCCTTTTCTCAAGGCTGAACAGACCCTGGTCACTCAGTCTTTCCTCATAAGAGAGGTGCTCCAGGTTCTTTATCATCTTTGTGGCCATGTTTTACTACAAGAAAGTCTAAGTGACCAAATGAATCTCTAAGAAACAGCACTGCGTGGAATTCAATGCCAGAAGCCAGTTCAACAACATATGCAACACGCTGCACAAAGGAAGCATACGCAGCGAAGCACAGAATTTAAGTTTCTACGGCAATAGTTTTAATCATTTCAATCAGGTACGGCTTTACACGTTTGCTATGTTAAATGGGTACAATTAAACCCTTCTCTATAAATAATTTTACTCTTAAAACTCTATGCCACAGTACTTAAGAGCAGCTCTAAAGGCTCATCATACGCCCTGCCAACTTTGTTTCTACACTACTGTAAGAAAAACAGCAGTGCAATTTTAACATTATTTTGCTCTCAAACTGATTGGAACTTCATACCACTTTATTTCATCTCTAATGTGAATCTTATTATTTCACATAAAATTAGAATCTAATCAGAATATTCTGTTTGGATAAAGATACAAATCAAAACTTAAGTTCAGTGAAGCATTCTTAAGATAAAGAGATTATACCTCACTAAGTTCATGCTGTCTTTGCATCTTTTTTTCAAAGGCTGCTTTCATCTGTGTGAGTTGCTCATACTGAAAGAAAGAAGAAAGAATGTTTTCCCCCTGAAAAAGCAAAATATTACAACTAATTTCTGAAAAACACTTTACTGTTCACTTACTTTATCCAACACTGTCTGTCTTTTTGCCTCTAGACTGGGCTCCAGCAACAAATTTTTTTCTGTAAAATAAAGTTGCTATTATTATTATTATTTTAAAGGATTCAGTTCTCAGAATGCAGAAACATATTCTTTTTTTTTTTTGACATCTTACTTGCCAGCTCTTCAATGCTTTTCACTAACTCATCTCTATCAGTAATGACTTGCTTCAGTTGTGGTAGATTCACAAACTGTTCCAGCAACACCTCCTCTTTCTCATTCATATTGGTCAGCTCTGATATACTACATTCAAACAGAAAGAAAACATATCCGAAGTTA